AGTGTCTGCCCTAGTGACTCTATGGTGTGTAGAACAGCAATCCTCAGGCTGCGCCTGCCCTAGTGACGAAGAGCAGCTCTCAGGCTGCACCTGCCCTGAGTGATTCCATGGTGTACAGAACAGCAGTCCTCAGGCTGTGTCTGCCCTAGTGACTCTATGGTGCGTTGAACAGCAGTCCTCAGGCTGTGCCTACCCTAGTGACTCCATGGTGTACAGAACAGCAGTCCTCAGGCTGTGCCTGCCCTGAGTGACTCCATGGTGTGTAGAACAGCAGCTCTCAGGCTGCACCTGCCCTAGTGACTCCATGGTGTGTAGAACAGCAGCTCTCAGGCTATGCCTGCCCTGAGTGACTCCATGGTGTGTAGAACAGCAGTCCTCAGGCTGCACCTGCCCTAGTGACTCCATGGTATGTAGAACAGCAGCTCTCAGGCTCCATTTGCTCTGAGTGACTTCATGGTGTGCAGAATAGCAGTCCTCAGGCTGTACCTGCCCTGAGTGACTCCATGTTGTGTAGAACAGCAGCTCTCAGGCTGCGCCTGTCCTGGGTGACTTCATTTTATAAACTAATAGTTTGCCATAAGCATAACTCCATTTTGAGTTCTAGTGCCAAGGATGAATGACTGTAAACCTTATTTGTACAAGTATACCACCACCATCATCTCAGCACAATCATAAGGTACAAACTGATAAAATAATTTAACGTACATTAAATCAGAGGCACATGGAGGCATCAGAAAAACCAGGCCCATGAGCTTATCAAAGACAGTAGACCACCAGTGAAGTAAGTCCTTCACCTGAGACCCATAAAAGGAGAAGTACTCCATAACTGGCTTCAGCAACACTGCCACAGCATATCAGTGGGCCATCTGGTAAATGCTTAACAAGATTGAGAGGTGACAAATCCCCAGCTCTCTGTCCCTGGGCTTCAGCTCTCCTCATTTCCATGCTTGATGTGGCCCAGGTGGAAACTGAAAATCAATTTCAGAAAGGAGATCATATATATATATATATATGTATGTAGGTATGTATAAAATACATACATATGTATGTGTATATATATGTAAATGTATAAATATTAGTTATAGATATTAGTAATTATGATAAAAGACACTGTCATTGCTTGGCTTATGACTATCAGGTGACCCATGAATACTTGGTGAATTGTGACCAATGAAGTATAAAGCTTGTGAACTCTTTATTCACAATTCAGTAAGTGCTGGCATTCTGAGAAGACACAGCCATGTCTGTCTTGTCATGGCAGAGCTTGCTCACAACACTGTTCTATAGGAGTGGCAGGAAAAAGGAGCAAGCTTTTTGTGTTTTTTTTTAACATGAAAATATTTAGTGTCAGCATGGAATTAAGAAATGGATCGAGGGAATTAAATAGGAATGGAAATCAATTTATCTTTCCTTCACAATTTGAAAGTTATTGAAGCCATGGAACTTTTTACATTCACTGATAGGAGTTCCGCTCAATTAGGATTTATACCAAGGAAGTAATTAAGAATTTCCATGTGACCTAGCTACTAGCTTACTTTCTACGGTGGTATTTATAAAAGGGCAAATTTGGGTAGCAGCCTCAACACCTTTCACTAAGGAATTGGTTGAAGGGTGGTGAATCCACACGTTGGGCCATCTACTATTCAGCTGTGTGAGATGATACTGGGGCATATTTAACTTGTGAGTGAGTGTTCACACTACATTGTATGGCAAAATGAGCTCAGTACGTAATGCACAGTTCAGGGGCATTTGAACCTGTTCATGTCTGTGTGTTTTGCTTTATTCTGGACCTTGAGTGTACCCAAACAGTGGATGTATTAAAACGCTGGTCTCCAGGGTGGCACTGCCAGCAGGGAGGGGAACCTAGAGGTGGGGCCTTGCTGTGGTGTGGATATGAGGTGTCCCCGAAGCTGCTGTGTTGATGCAGGAATACTCAGAGGTGAGATGACTAGACTGTGAGAGCCGCGCCCCGACCAGCCCATCCATTTGGTCCCATGTGAACTTGAATGGACTGGGTGGTCACTATAAGTAGTGGAGAGTGGCTAGGAGGTGGGTCCTTGGGCAGTCACCTGGAAGGGTGCCTCTGCCCCGTGGCCCTTTTCTCTCTTTTTGAGCCTGTCATTAACTGAGCAGTTTTCCACCCCTGAGTCTTCCCCCATCTTGGCCCAGAGCAACGGAATCAGCCATCTATGAACTGAGCCTCGGAAACCATGATCCTCAAGTAAACCTCCTCCTCTGTGTTGTTCTGGTCAGTTGTTTTGGTCACAAGATGCAAAAAGCTGATTTAAAAAGGCCTAGTGGGAGGTCCTGAGGTCACTGGGGGGTGTGCCCTCCAGGGGAACTGTGGAACCCCAGTCCCCTACTCACTTTTCTGCTTCCTGGCCATGAGATGAGCACTTTTCACTCCAATGCACACTTCCCCCATGATGAGCTGCCTCACCATGTTAAGGTCTGTAAACAAGTCAAAATAACACCTGGTATTTTGCCAGGGGAATTTTAGAGTTCATAAACAAGTCTGGATGGTGCCTGGCAAAATGCCAGAGGGAGTGGTTTGAGAAGTAACAAAAGCGAGCCATTAAGTGTGGAGATTCCTTATTGGTTGACTGATGTATCTAGTTTATGTTAATTAGATAAGCTGTGTGGAATGTATAAATAGCTCTGTTGTCCTACAATAAATGGCTCCCACTCCTGTTGTTTCAACATACACAAGTTATTCGTCACCCCCCCTGGCTATTTTGCTGCAGCCGGACTGCGGCAGCACCACAGGTCAAAGAAACCAGGGACGATCAGTTATGGACTAAACCTCCAAAGCTTGTGAGTCAAAAGAAGCCTTCTCTGTGCGCAGAGATTTTCTCAGGTACCTGTAGTAACAGAAAGCTAACACAAGACTCCACTGGCAACTGAGTCCAGTGAACTGGAGGTTCAGAGGCCACTTTTGCGGAGAGTGAGATAGGAATTTGGAGATATAGAGAAAGAAGATAAGTACCCGTGAACTGCTAGAATGTAGGAAACATCTGTGAACTTTTGAAATGAAAAACCAGCATTCACAAACCACCCAGGCCATATCCTTGTCCCATGTCCCTGCCCACAAAAATTAACATGATTTGGGCAAGTGCAGGGCCAACGAGTGAGACGGTGTACCTTTTGTCAGGTGCCCTGACTCCACCTGTAGCCTTAACTGCTACCCCTCTATAATGTTAACACCCCAGACCAAGGAAATAGAGATGGTCTGCCTTCTCCCTTGAATGTGTACCCATGTATTAAAATGCTGGTCTCCAGGGTGGCATTGCCAGCAGGGAGGGGAACCTAGAGGTGGTTCTTTCTTGAGATGGCCTGCATCCCCCTCTTGAATGTATACCCAATTTCCTAAATAAACCTGACTGGCACATGCTAAAATTCTTTTGTGTCACTAAGCCAAAGACCCCATTTGCAACTGAGGTAAGTCTCCCTCTCCAGGAACTGTTCTATTGACAAAAGCCCTGACTCTTCATTTGGGCCTGCACATGTGCAATAGGCAATTAAAGGCGGAGTAAACACTTGGCATGTAGCCATCACTTTGCAGAGATAATGACCTTCAGCCTTGGGAGAGCCATTCATTCTCCCACTCCAATGTGGAAGGACCAAGATTAAGAGTAAGCCATCTTCCAGGGTTTGCAGGGACATCATAATCAACAAACTGTCCACTGTCAGCTTTTGCAATATCCTGTTCCAGACCATTAGAGTAGCTCCTGCAGGTCTCTAGCCACTACCCTAAACTTGAAGCAACTAATGCCATCTTGCCCGTCTATCTTGGCCTTAAGTCATTTTCTTGGGTATTCATCTTGGATTCCAAGAAAAACAAATACCTTGTGACAAGAGCCCAATCCACCCCCTGGTACCAGGCAGCAGTGACTTTCTTATCACTAACAAAGCCCCATCTGACTTTCTGACATAACCATCAGTGTCCAGGTCTGCCGGACTACCTACACTCCCCGCACCCTCTATTGAAAACAGCAGCTCACGGCAGTGTCCCCGAACGCAGCATACTGGTTCCTTCATCTTCCCAGGACGGCTACACTGAATACTACTTTTAGAGAGTGGCTGGAGCAGGATCAGCAGACGCCACAAGACGCTATAGGTGACTGGGTGCCTCTATTTTCAGTCTTTTTCATTCTAGTGTTAGAACATGAAGTTCTTTTTAAAATGTTTTTAGTTGTAGATAGACATAATACCTGTATTTTATTTTTATGTGGTGCTGAGGATAGAACCCAGTGCCTTCCACATGTGAGGTGAGCTCTCTAACACTGAGCCCCAGCCCCAGCCCCGGAACATGAATTTCTTTTGAAAGAATTGTAAAAATCATTTGCGAATGCTTTGAAAAGCGTAAAGAGGCTCTAACTGTCTCCCCAACAAAATGGTACACACTTGAGGCTGGCCAGTCATCTGACAGTCGGGCAGTGCGTGCAGTGCTGACAAGATGAGTGGTCACCTTGAGTTCCCTGTTCCCCAAGTGCCTGCCTCAAAGCCTCAGGGTGCACTGGGGGAGGGGGGAGATGGGGGGGGGTTGGGGGCACCAGCCTGGTCCTCTCATGGGGATCAGCAGTGCACAAGGGTACGACCGAGACAATGAGGAGGCAGCAGAGCCAGAGTGGAAACGCAGGTTTTATTGACAGGCCTTTCAGATTACAATACAGTCCAACATCTCCCAGCATGAACCCACATACAGGGTACAACAATACATTTTCTTTTCACCTAAATCACTACTATTCTTCACACATACTCCTGAAAAAGTTCCCACAGTGGTTAACGCAAAGTGAAAATGGGGAAAAACAGCCCCATCATCTCCCACGGAAGTGGACGAAGTGCATTAGGAAACACGGAATGAATCGAACCCGGCAAGCAAGCCAGCCATCTCCTGGCGTCTCAACGGTCACTGCGCTCCCAACACACAGCTCCACACTCCACCTGTGAGCTGCACCGACACAGCAGGAGGCGCACACATTACGTCAGGAGGGCCACAGTCACAGGGGCAGTAACAACGGCCACACGGCCCATCGCTTCCACGTGAACGTGAGGCGCGCTACCACTAACACTGACCCATGCCAGGGGCCTGCAAGGTAGAGGGTGAGACAAAGGGGTGGTTAGTGACATGGCCAATGCACGCTGTGGTGCTGCATCTGTGGTCGCCACACACACCTACAGAGAGCCAAACTGCAAAATAACAGAATCGAATGTTATTCTCTCCAATCAAAGACCTGGAGGAATAAATCACAAGAAGAGACCTGTCAAAGCAAAGGTTTAGAGAAAAATCACATTGAAACAGGCCCCTCCTGCCAGCCAGAGTGGAATCCTGAGTGTTTGCGCTGGAGAGAGGAGCAGGTATGTGGCCTGGGCAAGAGTGTGGAAGCCAGTGGAGGTGGAGGGGGGTGGTGAAGGAAGGAGAGCGTGGCCACTGGGAGACGGGAAGGTAGAAGCAGTGACAGATCTCAGATGGGAAGGGAGTGATTGGCATGAGATGGGGATGGGCTCAGCCAGGAACGAGGAACAGACACACGAGGAGGGGCCTGGGCCCAGGCAGGAGGCCACCCATCAGAGAGCAGCATAGAACAGACATGGCCGACAGGCAGAGGGCCAGCTCAAGAGAGGAAAGAAATCAGACTGTGCTTTGCCATTGCTGCACCTGAAAATGAAAACAGTGGAATTAAAGCCTAAAGTTAAAATCCTCTTGAGGAAGAGCGCTCTGGATCCCATGCCTGTGAAGAGCAAAGCTGAGTTATAAAAACAAGAGGTTACTCGCTCTTAGGCGGACAGCGTCCACGTATGCCAGGTGCACTTGTTACGTATTCCAAGGAAACATTGCAGAGGCAAAATCTTTAAACAGTGCTTTAAAAACCGGCTTCTACCATGTGTGCCCTTAAAACAAAAGATAGTTTAGGATAAAATTACGTAAAGAAGGTTGAGGCCTGTTTTCTGGAGCACACTGAATTGTCACACACAGAACGCATCAACCACAGAGCCTGCCTGTGCACCCATCCTTTGGGACGGAGCTTCTTTCAAGGACTGCATTTTTCTACAAACCTTTTAAAATCAGTGAAATGACAACAAGCAAAACACTAACACAAAGATCTCCTTATGTTTTGGTTGGTTAGAAGGGAAAGGAAAGGGATGGGTGCTCCAGAAAGTTCTCACTTCAAGTGCCTGTGCTACCTGCCATTTCGCCTGTAAGACTCCCTCCAGAGCGTGCTGGGGAGAGCCGTGCGAACAGTCTCTGGGAAAGGCAGGTCGCAGTGTGCAAACTGACGACCCCTCCCGGCCGCACACCACCGGGAGGAGCTATACCTGGGATCCAATATGAATCATGGGTTTGCTCTGGTTCTAGTACTCAAAACCATGGCTCATGTACCTAAGAAGTTAGGTATTTTAAATGATAAAAAATAAACAGGTTGCAAAAAACCTTACATAAAATCCTTAGGATTTAATATTAAATCAAGGCTAATTGCCTTTGGAGAATTCATATTAAAAATGTCAAAGTAATACTTCATTCACAAACTTTAAAATAGATGAAAACATCAATTGATAAGCTCATTAACTACAGTGAAGGATCCAAAGCTTTCCCATCACTGAGAGAAGCTTCTCATGGCTCACTTCCTCATGGAGAAGGGGTCTTGGTCCCTCTGTCCTGCACCCCCACTGCTGACTCCCTGTGCAATACCTCACATACCATTTCTCAGAGGGCCTGCAGAAGCGTCTGCATTCTCTTTCACCCTCTCCCTCCCACTCCAAATAAAAGCAGGGAGGCGAGCTGCAGCTTAATGAAGGGGCCAAATTTGATCTAAAAAGGAGAATGTGAAGCCAACACTGGGCTCTACAAAAGGAAGGAAAATAAAAACTGATTCCCTAGAAGGTTTTACACCAAAGCAGCAAGGCCAGAGCTGCCCAGCTGGGTTCGCAGATGTGGCACTGTGACGTGCTTGTTGACCATGGGGCATTTTCTCCAACGAGGACAAAGGAAGGCCACCAAGAACCCAAGGACAATCCAGAACAACATTCAGCCACTACGCAGATCTCCCTGGACTAGACCCTATCCTCGATCACAATCAGTCCAGTGGTCTTGGAACACATGGAGCTTACCTTCCTGACACACCACAAGGAAACAGGAAGCAAAACAACGACACACAAAACAAAAGGTAAAAGAAAAAAAGTGACAGCTTCTTAAAACCAGTCCATAGAGAAGGCCTTCTCCTAGTCTGTATCGCCAGTCCTAAGGAAGAGCCAGCCTTGGCCAGAGGCTGAGGGGCCCTGCGGTCCACACTGAGGGCGGCTCCTCCCCTCTACAGGCTCTACCCACCCTCCCACCCTATCCCTTCCTTCCTCCCCGACCCTCCTAACTCCTCTGCCCGCCTACTAAAGCAGCAAAGCCTTCTGTCTGCAAGGTCAGGCAGAATGCTGTTTGGAAAAGAGGCCCCTGGGTGCAGAACCTAGGCTCACCACAACTCAGGAATGCTGCGAAGCAAGCTCCAACTGCTGGTGCGGCTGCTGGAACAACTGCTGGTGCGGGACCTTTGCACATCACACTGGGACCTACCCAAGTTAAAGCGGGTGCTGGGGAAATCGCTTCCCACCCCACCCCTCCACTCTTCCATCGGGCGTGGCGCAGACCTGCATGGGAAGCTGACTGTCCAGGGCAGGGACTCCTCAAAATGGCTTTTGGAAAGAAGAGATTCATCCTCAAGAATACCAGTATAAGAATTTAACAAATGTGGCCAGGCCAAGGGCAATGCAAGGTTAACTTCCGGAAGCAGCTAAGTGAACTTACATTACAGCACAAAATAAACAAAGCAAAAGGAAAGAAGTGGTTTGGCTCCACTCCACCGCCTATGGGTTCACCTCTTGAGATAGACTGGTATTTACTGCCCTTCAGCTTCTTGAGCTTGTGAACAAATAATACACAGATGAGGATAAATGTATTGACTTACTACCATCTTTATAAAAATCGAATGTACACACAAACACATCACAAAATGAAGTGTCTCCATTAAACTCTGATAAGACAACACAAAAGAACTAACAAATAGCTAAGATGTTGCTGAGTGGAAAGCATTTCCAACAATGTTTTAATTTTAAAAGGTCCATATTTACATAGTATGCTAATGCTTTTGCATCTCATTTTAAATGCATGATAAAGAAAGAACAAAGATAATGGTTGCAGCAGATCTTCCACAAGGGTTCAGGTGCATGGTTTGACTTTGCTGCCAGAAGTGCACCGAAAATGGAACGACAGTACTCTAATTCTGCTTCTTTCCTCTTCTGTGGTTTCCTTCAAGAAAACTAGCCTGCAGCACTGGCCTGCCTGATACTGAGAGTCCACTCTCAACAGCGTGCGTGGAATGGCTGGCCTGTGCCTGGCTGTTCTAATGGGGGCTTTGTGCAGTCCTGGCTGACTGATAGTCTCTTAGGACACTGCAGGAAGAGAAAGCCTGCTCATGTGTGCAGACAGTTATGGACACACACGTGCTCCCGGGTACCCGTATCACACTCAGACAAGGCCACAAGCAGACTGTGGGGTGGTCCTGAGGCCTGTCTGCGACGGTGGTGCCCAAATCGGACTTGTTCTGTTAACTCTAACTTCAATGTTCCCATGCCTGCTTTGCAGAACATGCAGATGGGGTTTTAAAAGCACAGAACTCAAGACTATTTGAGAAAGTGATAAAAATCTGTTAAACTCATATTATTGCATCTTAAGTCCTTGGTGATAAAATAAGGTTTCCAAGGGCCCAACGGGTCCTGAATACTCTGGATCTCTCTTAATTGGAGCTTACAGGCTACCAAACGCATCACTCCAACACAGTTCTCTGTGGACTGGGCCAGATAAACTGCATTCCTACGTATACAAACATCCCTGTCTAACTGAACACTAAATGGCAGTGACAGCGTGCCAACCAGCTGACAATACTCAAAGGAACTGGTGTGCAGACCCTGCTGTGGGCATGGCGGGGCTGGTGACAGTCCACCCACCAAGCCACTGGACTTCTGGACAGAGTTGGCACCACAGATGAGAGGTTCTCTAGGATGACCCGAGTGACGCAGTTTCCTGGAACCCAAACAACCACCCGCACTTCCCAGGGTTCCTCCTAGGCACAAGATGTCATCTTAGAATTAATGCTAAGGAAAGACTCACAGGGTCTGGAATAACTTCTCCAGTTCTTAACTGGAAACTTCATTTGAAAATGTAACTTAAAACTTCAACTGTATAAACCAGCTGCTGCAAGTTTCGCGTCCCTTCCCCTTAGCTCCTACAAGGCAGCTCCAAAGAGCGTCAAGGCTCAGGCTCGTCCTCTCTGGGTTAAGCAGAGGCAGTAAGTGACAATGGGCTTCTATTTCCCTCAACTCCACCAATAAGTGTGACATGAAATCACAGGTATAAAACACAGCTTAAAAGTCTGAGTGTGCACTGGTGTCACCTGTACGCAAAGTTTGGACCATGTACCAAACAGTGACACTCTCATGGGCAGAAGCCAGTAGGGCAGAAGCCCGGTAAGGCACTTCTCAGTGTGCCCAGCAGGGACTCTTCTAGAGGCTGCTTTGGAGAGCAAGTCTCACCTAGGAGCCTATCAGAAAACTAGGAAACAATAGACACACTTCATCTCAAGGGGCGCGGACTGTGAGACAGCTGTCCCTCACGCCACGCACCATGGAGAACAGCAAGCAGAGGAAACTCTTGGGTCCCTGAAGGACTACAGCACCCCTGCTCAAAGAAGCTACAAAACAAAAAGCAATCAAAGCAATGATAGCGCATGTCACCTAGCCAGGGAGATGGATGTGCGACCCGGGGCTGCATTCAGAAGGAGGAATACCCACATGAGCCTTACCACCCCTCCACAGTGCCTCAATCTCGCAGGCCAAAGCTGGGCCAGAGGGTGGTTTGAGGGTCACAGGACCTGCCCCCTGCTGGGCCATGGGGCACCTGGTACCTGGCCAGTACTGCACCTCGTCTGGGAAAGTGTGAACAGGCATGGAGCTCACCTAGGAACCAGGAATGTGCAGCTGGCACTTTCGAGATATTTACAAGAAGCAGAATTGTCACTCCCATTAGCACTAATCCCAACCTCCCGCTCACACCCTGCTCCCCACGATGTGCACGTGCCCATCAATAGGCACCCACATTTTAACCTACTCTCACCAGGGCCTGAGGGCCCAAGGTGCCGCCTGCCAGAGGGCGTGGCTGAGAGCGTGCCTGTCTAGCCTGCACTGAAGATAGGTGCAACCATTATCAAATGTTCTCTGCTGTGAAGAATACTTAGGATCTGTGACGTACGGTAAAGTTCTTTCCTGAATCTAAGTCACTGTGACCGATCACACAGTAGGATCACGAAGAACCAGGTCTACATGCATCGAAAGCACTTGGAAACAAAAGAAAACGAGAACCGGAGTTCTTGTGGACAACAGAATTTGAAGCTATCTAACACCAAACTCCACTCGCCATGTCCCCTCAGTTCAGCTCTTCAGGAATCATCCTGGGGCTGGTTGGCGCTCCGGACAACAGTTAGCAGACTGCACACCGGAGAGATCTAGGCCCTGAGACTCCTGCGCTGGCTGGCAGCCTCCCTGAAGAAACTCCAGTGTGTGTGCAGCGTTGAGGGCAGGCTCTCCCAGGAGCAGTCACTCCACAATCAGGGCCACATTGATGTGGGACAAATCTATCATGTGCCTGTAGGAACGTAAAGAGACAGTCAGCAGCAAGCCTACACTTCACAGTCAACTCACCCAGGTGGAAAAGTGAAGAGCAGCAGTGGCTCCCAATTAAGAAAAACCTCTATGAAAATACAGGTTTCCAGAAAAGATCTAAGAACCAACGAGGGGCACCCTCTGCAAGACAAAAGGACACACGGTCTTAGGAGGCGATGTGCTATCTGTTCTCAGCCTGCATCTCTGGCCACGCTATAGCCACAGGCACCCCACACTGCACACCACAGGAAGAGGCACCCTCCCCGCAACCCCTCTCCCAGCAGAACTCAAGGCTACCTGTGGAACTTCTGCTGAAATGCTAGCGCGTGGGCTGGCTCCTTGAACTTCGCTATGGCTTTCCGCTGCTGGGGAAGCATCTGTAAACTCTAGAAGAAGAAAACAAACATTAAACATCACATGATAATAATGTAAAACCAGACCCCTGCACAATGGGAGCTGCAATACAAAACTGGAGTCCAGTGGACACTCGCATCATGCACATAGGTGGACTGGCCTCGTTCGCTCCCTACCAATGCTGTGACCTCTCCAGATAATCTACTCCTGCAAGCAATGCTTCCACCCTCCATGTCTGGTGTTCAGCCCTCCAGTTACTGAACACTGCCGAGACCGGGAGCAAGTATCCACGGACAGAGGCACTTCCCCTTCCCTTCCTGTCGGGTGATTCAGTGAGGGCCCTCATCAATCCTAAGAATAGCACCCACACACCAAAGGAAACTGCTGCTTAGTGGGGAAACTCTACAGCCTACAGTTGGCAATCCCCTCTAGTTTGTCACGGAGCAGACCCAGGTTCCCATGTATGAAGCTGGGTCACAGGCCAGCAGCACCCACGCTCCGTGAGGGCCACATGCATGCTGGCACTCCTGCATTCTCACTCCACCCCCACGAAGTGTGAGCCGGGAAGCCATCTCCATTTTAAAGACTGAGCAAACGTGGCCCACAAGGTGAAGTAGCGTACCCCAAAGCTGCACACCAGAAGCGGCAATGATGAGATCTACATCCAAGCCTCACTACAGAGCCCACACTCTTGCTGACCTATCTGGCTGCATTCTGAGGGGCTGCCACACAGACTGCTAAAGAAAGGGGTAGGTGACATGTGGGGAACAGAAGAGCCTTCACCACACAGTGGCTCACGTGTAGCACCTCGTCCTGCTGACTCTGCTGAGAAGCACAGCAGAGAAGAGTGAAACGCACGCACTGAGTCAACACCAACTTCTGCTTTATTGAGGAAGCTACTTTCTGGTTTTCATACCATAGAGTTTCATTGATCATATGGTAAAAAATTCACTTTTTTGTGTAACATGATTTTAGGCAAAACCCAACAAACAGAGAAATAAATGTGTTTCAACAAAGGACCTCATTAGTTAAAAGGAACTCACTTCGTGGTCCTAAGGGTTAATGAACATAAACACGCCCCTCCTCTCCCCCGGAGCAAGGCATTCCCTCCACTCCTCCGCTCTCAGGTAGAACCCTGATTCAGCACTGCGGTCAGTGACTACTACCACATGCTTTTCAAGCTTCTGATGCACACTGATCCTTACCCACTCCCATCTTTTGGCTGTCATGTCATGTCAACACTTCTGCCATTCTTCCTTGCTCCTCAGAGGCTCATAAACACAGCCAAGGGAGTAAAATACCACTCCAAGAGTAGCAGTGGCTGCCACATCACTGCCACGCTGAGGAAAGTTCTCAGGCCCCCAGGTTTATAAAGCACAGTTAAGGTGCAGCCACCAGAATTCACTATGACCAACAGCCCAAAGAGGGACGGTCCTTCCCGGGCAACACCACTGCTCGTCATTAAGCAAGTGAACACCAGGTGGAGCCACGTCTCAAAGCACAGAGACAGACGCTTCATTCTGGAACCTTTGGGATTACAAAAATATCTATGGAAAGCACACAGAGGAAGATGTGTTTCTGCCTCAAACCAGGAAGGCCGTGCTGAAGCTGAGTCAGCAACTTCCTTTCAGAAAGTGCATTTAAATCATCGCCAAGGTGATGAGGTCTCTTTACACCTATACTCAGAGGACCATCAAGGGCTGGCAGATGTTTATCAGTTTTGTAAATTAAGAAATAGAACTTTGTAAGAGTCATACTTAAAAATCTATAAACTCCCTCTCAAAACCACTCTCCTGGCCTAAGATTGGGAGGAACAGGACACTCAGCTTTCACGGTGGGAGGAAAGGTCCTGCCCAAGGGCTGACCAGGGGTCCTCAGGGTTTTCGGGGTAACACACATTAGATGGCAGTGTGGCAAGGGTGTGGGAGCCCAGGAAACTTTCACCTTGTTTTCAGATGTTCCTCTCTAATTAGAACAGGCCATCAATCAACCACAGCACTGGTTTTGCTGGAATTCTAAGGGGTGCCCATTATACTTGACCCAATGACTTCTAATCTTTATAGAACTGGTTTTAAAAAAAAAGTGGCAAGCAGAGGAACAAAGGCCATTCTGAGCTACAATCCCAAAGTATAAAATTAAAAATTCGATTTGTAAGACAGGTAAGATAGAGGCTAGATGGTTCATGGCTCCCTGCTCATTTTCACAGCATGGCTTTTGAACCTCACTCAATGCCATAAGAAGCAAACTGTACCTGCTCTTCAGACGTGGATCTTGGCAGCTGGATCACTTGTTTTGAATCTCAGATTAGGATAAGCACTTTTTAGGCACAGTGGTGTACCCCTATAATCCCTGCAACTCAGGAGATTGAGGCAAGAGGATTGCAACTTAGCAACACCGTGTCTCAAAATAACAAAAAGGGCTGGAGATATAGCTTAGGGGTATAGTACCCTTGGGCAAACAAAACACAACAAAAACCACTTTTGTGTGTGTGTATATGTGGTGCTGGGGATGGAACCCAGGGCCTTGTGCATACAGGGAAAGCACTCTACCAACTGAACTATATCTCCAGCCCCCAACCACATTTTAATACATCTAAATTCATATAATGATCAACTGTGTAGAAACTGCCCAGCTCTGAACACAAGCTTTATGCCTCTGATGTCTGACAAGGCATTCCTGACTGTGCCACTAGGAAACCTGCTCTCTAGAGTGGCATGCAAGAGTAACTTTACAGTAACACAAATAAACACGAAGCCTAACTACCTCTCCAGGAGTCCCACAACAAAGGGCGCTCGCTGTAACTGCCTCAATAACAGGCCCAGTTTTGGAAGGCTTTTATCTATTCCTGGCGTTTAGGACTCTCAACAGCAGATGGAGATCTGAAACATCATAAATTAATTACCTGTACCAGCCCCAGTTTTAGAATGTTTCCAAATTCACCCAGGAGAAAGAGACTATGTAACATAAAACACTTTGCACTACACAGAAATCTAACATTTACTAAGTGTCCTAAAACTTCCACTAGTCGTCTCTTAGTCTGCGTGGGGTGCAGAATATGCAGGGGAAGGCAGCAACTGGCCCTATAAGCAACAGAGGCCAGGAACAGGACTGAAGGCCAGGTGGTCTTTTCACTTGGCCCCCTGTAGGGTTCAGACGCTGCAGAAAATAGGGGTTTCCTAGGAAAACAATAGACGTGGAATTCTCTTCATTTCATATTCAGCCTTTTAATTTGTAGTCTGCTCAGCAAAGATTTTTTTTAAACATTAGACATAGACAGTTTTAAAATTAAGAGATGAAAATACAGCCCAAGCTGCTGTCATGTTTGTAAAACTGAACTTCACAGCTGTTAACGTGTGAGACTGTTTCAGGAAATTAAAAAGGCTACTAATTTAAACAATCACTACCAATAAAGCAAGTGACTTGACGGCACAAACTCAGATGGGTGTGGACTTCGGCACAAGGGTTTCCACGGATAGTCTGTTTCCAGCTGCCATATTCATTTCTTAAAACTTATAGCTAAGAATCTGAATATTCAAGCATTCAATATTCAGATTCTTAGCTATGAGCCAAGAAGCTCAAGTTCTGCAATCAGCAGCCATTTACCTTTCTTCTCAAGTACAATTTTTAACACAAGGCAACCCATACAGTGGGCACCCTGTTGCATCCAGACGGGGTTTTGTCTAGGAGACGACAGGCTCTGGCACCAACACTACCCGCAGGCAACCCACCTGAATGGGCCCCACGGACATCAAAAGGCTCTTCAGCTGGACATCGGTGGTAGATGAGGATAGCCCCTCCACGGACACCACACAGGGTTGTGGCTTACACTCCACCACCCGCAGGTTCTGCTTGTTTGGCATCAGGCGTCCCCGGCCCAGGGGACCTGCCACACCTCGGCCTCGTCCGTGCATGATTGCCTGGCAACAACAAAGAAAAGGCATTCTGACTTTCAGTGTATGCATTTCCATAGCTACTGAGAGGTAAAAGGGTGAGTCACTGGGCGTGCTGCAGGACTCTCTAGGGTTTTCTGTGAGTCTAGGTCTCTGAGCACTTCTGTGCTGTTCTGAGGTGCAGCCCCTGCAGTCAGAATCGGGCAGCTAACAACTACCCCACCACTCCAGAGCTGCACTTCCATGGCTTCCATGTTTCTTGCTGTGACTGGCTTAAACCCACCAGACAGTCACAAGACACATCCGGCATCAGAGACCTGAACCACCTGGTCAAGATCTGTACATGTGCCATCCCCACACTCAAAAGGCAGGTTCTGCAATCACGATTTTTTAAAGCCACCCAGGACCCAAAACCACTGTTCAAGGAGCCTTTAAAGAGAGGAGATGGCTGACATTTTCAGCATTTTCTCCTAGTTAGAAAAGTGTAGAGACTGTGCCCAACCTCCAGCTCATGACAGTTGTGGATACAGAAGCAGAGCAGAATGAACAGCACCAGGCTTCCCAAAAGTCCCGCCCTAATTCTGTCTAGAGTTTGGGTACAGAGGGACAAAATGGCCTCTTAGCACAGGATAAGAGAGAAAGCCAGGTGGAGATCAGAACTGTACCCAAGGACACAAATGTGTCCATCAAGGAAGGAAAGCAGGTGTCCCAGCCCTGTGCAGAAGGTGGCAGGCAGTCCTGGGAAGTGAACTCTGGAGAAGAGCAGGGAACTGTTCTGGAAGCACACTGGGAAACACACCAGAGCTGCACAAAAACCAGCAGCCTGTGAGTACATCAACCTGTGGGATGTGCTCACCGAACACCAGCCACCAGCTGCCATCAACCCACACAACGCCCAAGCAAGGCCAGAGACACCACGTCCTCACTGAGAGGAGAGGAGAGGAGAGGAGAGGTAGGAGAGGGTGGGGTGTAGGGTAGGGTACAGGCCTGCAGGGCAGCATATGAAAGGAAAATGTGGACTGAATGACCTTCAAAGATTACACAGCTTATCACTTAATCTGTCTGTGCATTTGTCTTCTGTAGGAGTGGAATGATTCTTTCTGCTCCTATCTCATAAGGAGGCATAAGAGAGCACATACAAAACAACAACAACCCTGAACACTGTGCCCTAGCAGACCCTGGCCTTCTACAAGAGACCCACAGCAGGCAGCCCACCATGAACACAGGTGAGGTTGGCTGCTGCTCCAAGAGGGACTCTGGTCAGCCAAACTCAGAAGCTAGAGGGTTGCATCTCTCAGAAGCTGAGGGGTGACACATCATCAGTATCATGCATGTGCTGTGACAGGATGGCCTCCCCAAGCAACAAGGGGCTCTGTTGGACATCTAAGCTTCCCATAGGACAGACTGAGCTTGGCTGGACAGGAGAACGCCATGTAGCCCTGTCACTTCCTCGGGTCACTTTGGCCCTGTGAAGTGAATGGTGGTCGTGTAACCTAAACACCAGACCCTGGTTCTATATTGAGGCTCTCTGGTGGTTAGGGGTGCTCATGCACAGCTGATGCTGTGTGCAGATGCACATGCCCCACTCTTTCTGCACAGCACAATGCAGGCGCTGCTCAGCATGTCCTTCAGAGGTGTGGGCGACAGCCAAGTTCTCGGTTGCAGGCAATTTACTGGAGTTGTGCCATCAATATGTCAGGCGAGGAAAGGGCTTTGGTGAAACGTGCCGTTTTTTCTAAGACGGGGCTAAGGAGGCGATGACCCACTTGCTAATGATCTGAGGACTGCTGGGTGTCGGACACTCGCACATCAGAGAAACCATCCACTCTTGTCTTCCCTTAACCACATCTAGGGAGAAGGGCCCTCCCAGAAAGGGGAGCAGGCAGTACCTTCTTGGCCGGGTGGATGCCCTGGATGCTTTTGATCCCTGGAGGAACAGCTGGGTGCAGGTGGGGCCCCATGGGCGGGTGCTGGGGCTGCTGAGGGCCGCCCTTGGTCAGCGTCACCTTGCGGGCAGGCTGTTGTCTCACTTCTGGAGGCTGAGGAAGCCGCTGGGGCTGGCCCTCTGGGTGAAAAAATCCATCACTTTCTCCTCCCTGCTGAAACCAACAAGGCAGTACATGGTTCAGTGTCTATCCACTCCATCCACTAGGCCCCCCCAGGGCAGGGAGCCTGCAACCAGGGCTCACAGCAAGGCCTTCTGGACAAACCTGAAACCCAGCCAAACTTGCCCTCAGAGAGCCAGTGTGGAGACCGCTCACTGGACAGTAGTTAGGGTTTAGCAAGACTTTTCAATTTAAGACATTAAGGTCCCTTTCATTACTGTGATTAAAATGTGTTCTGATTAAATTAAATGACAAATTGCTGAACTTTAAAAGTACTTTATATGTGAATAGCATTTTTCATTTTCCAGAGCATTCTTGTTAAAACTGACAGCATGCACAGAGCCAACCTCTGGGAAGCCGGATCAAGAAATAAGAGTGAATTAATAAGAAAACAACATGGCAAAATTTAGTGGATGTAACCAAAGCAGCTGCACCAAAACAGGAAAGGGGAAAGAAAAATCGAAAATCTATAATCTGAGCTCTCACAAGAAGCTGGACCCCAGAGACTATAAAGACAAAGGAAAAAACAAAAAACTAAGTGGAAAAGAATGATAAAAATCACTGCATAAAAGAATGACACAGTGAACAGAAAAATAAAGTCCTTTCTCTCTCAGGTCTCACAAGTTGTTGTCAGGTTGCCAAAACTGATACTCTTCGCTGACAAGAAAAAAGGACAGAGGACAAATGACCAAAAACCATAAGCAAGGCGGGACCACCAGGATGGACCCTGCAGAAGTTAAAATACATTACAAACAACTCTGAATCAACTCCACAGTCAGCTCAGCAGAGAGAGGTGAATTCCACAAAACTTGGAGGCACCAAGCCACTCCCACACAAAGGCCCCCCAAAGACCTCTGAGAAGTCACAGTGCTGAATTAATGATGTTCTTCATAGGAAAGATTCGGGCCCAAATAGCATCACAGGTGGATTCTAGCAAATATTTAAGGAGGAAAGACCACCGAGCTCACCCCAATTCCCTGAGAAAACAGAAGAGAAAGATGTGCATTCCCTTCATTCTGAGCCTGGTACCCAACCAAAGTGCCAGAGCCATGACCACCACCAAGCACATCCCTTGTAAACACACATGGGAAAACCCTCAGCACAGCACTACAATTCAATCCAGCAGCTCAGGACAAGCATCACACCCCATGACCAAGCAAGACTTGCCCCAGGAACAAAGGTGGGCTAAGCTAGTGCAACATGCCACAGGTATGACAGACCCACGGCCATCTGCTCATGTCCAGCTGTAGTGGACTGAACAGAGTGGTCCTGCCAAGGTTCTGCGACTCCATTACGTGTATTACGATCACCTGACATATGCTGGTGTTGGAGTCACTTCTTGCCCCTAACGAAAATGGGCAGGTCAATGGCTCTTAGGATATGTGGTCACATCCTTAGATTGAAAACTTTCAGCTTGGAAAATTTCTCATATACAGAACTAGAGACAAGTACATAGCTCTGGAAGACACAACTTGGAAACCAGGCACTCACAACGCGCCCAAGGCCTCAGCCTGGCTTTCCAAGCACACTGTAGTACTGTGTGGAGAGGGAGTGGAGCGGAGACTCCCAGGTTCAAGACAAGCTCTTGTGTCTGCCAAGTTCCCGGGCGCTCCTCAGATCTGCAACAGAGAGGGTGCCATTCTACATGAGCTGCAGGCTGAGGGTGGAGACACACCCAGGCTCCCCCCACGCTGCTGTCCACCAGGCCTCCCTGAAGCTGAGCAGTGGCATTCTCCCCTTGCACGTGGAAGAAGCACCAAGATGTGACTCCACACCACCTCCAAGAGAGGTACTTACACCAAACCCATTCTACAACTATCTCCAGAAGAACTGGATCAAGGAATGAGCCATCATCCAATTAAAATACTTCATTTAAAGTCCTATAATGCTGTGCTTTGAATGTTATTAAAGATGGCGGTTAAGCATTCAAGGCGAAGCTATTTCAATTTATAAGAAAAATTGAAAAAATAAAAGTCCAATTAAGAGTCTAAGTATTCTCTTTCAATGTAGCACAATGAAAAGCTAATTACAGTGGGAAATAAAACCCTGAATTTCTGGGCTAACACCAGAAAATGGTCAATCCATCTATATGTTACGAGGCTGTGTCCAGACCTATTTTACAGACCCATACTTCCAGAGACAGACGGAACTTGAGTGAGAACCAAGCCAAAGTGAAGCTACCTATTTACTGATAAATCTCCTATAACCTATGCACACAGTGGCAGTCTTGAAAGTGGTCCTACACTTATTAGTACTTAGTTAAGCCAACGTTAACAAACTGATGACTCCAATTAACCATCTATGCAACAATCTGTATCTGAAAGTAAGCGGATCAGCAGTTGTGAGGGGGCAGATTATGCTCCAGTTCTAAGAGGTAAATTTATCCAAGGAGTTTTCAACTCCTTGTGTGGCAGAGTATGGATACACCTTTAGCTATCTTCTTCTTCCTCCAAAGCAGAAAAGGGGAAAAGGGCTTGGGCCCACCTAACCCAAACCAGAAACATTTGATTGTTTCTCTTTCCACATTTTTTTTTTTTAATGAATACAATAAACATGTCTCTTCAGAGCAGTGCTTTTTAAAATATCTAAGAAGAACTATCTGAATTAAGTAAGCTTAGGGAATACTTTTTATCAGCTTAATCTTACAAAAAATGAAGTTTGTAGCCACCAACATTAGCAGGACATATTTATTTATAACAAATGATTTAACTGTATTGATAAAAATGCCTATTGATACTGTCAGGGCTTCTTGCAATTTGACAGATCAAATCTTATTTTCATTCCTAAACCCCATGAAGAAGTGATATCACTGACTTGCATTCAGTAGCGAGCAAATTGATTAATCCCTCTCCATAGAAATCTCAACCCTTGATTATACCTATCAGACGTTAAGCAGCATTATTCTGGAGTGACAACACTTGACAAATTCCCCAACCATTTTTCTCAGCCTTTGTGGCCCTGCTAGCTTGTATTAACCCTGATGAAAAATTAATTTTCCTTATCTTCTTCTAAACCCCAAAATCCAAATCCGCCAAACTGGCAACTCTTTCTGTAAAGGTTTATGAAAACCTCTAAAAGATTAATTGCATGTCTTCAGGTGACATTAAATTAATTTCCGTACTCCTGACAGACACTTGATACTCCGTGCTGAGAGGACAGATAACATTGTCAGGACACAGAGAAGGACAGTGGTGTGGCGTCCCAGGGCAGCCCCGCACGAATCCTGCTCCCGATAAGGCTGCACTCGCTGTCACCCACAATGCTGAGGATCTCACAGCTGTAGCCCTCCCGTACAGGTTTCTATTAACTTCAACAATGCAGGGCCTATCCCTGTGATCTCTGTGACGCTCATTCAGAACCTGCATGGTAAATGATATGCAAGCTAGATCAAGTTTCTAAATACAAACACAAGACTGCTGGATTAAAGGAGAAAAGGTAGAGAAATAAACATTCTCTTCCAGGTTCGGGGTCAATTTCCTAATCAAACTGCTGCAATGTGAGAGAGGGTGGGAGCACTTCACATCTGCAGTGTTCGCTTCCTCTCTGCAATAGACTATCCTCACCTAGTGGCCAGGACACCAAGCACAGACACAACTGAAATCAAGACACTACCTCTGTCTCCTCCTGGTAACAGGGCCTATACAGGCTGAATACACATCGAATTCATGAGTTTAAAGACATCAGGGCAGACAGAATCCATAACTTCTGGACTTCTTAAAAGTATTTTCTTATTAGTATTAGACTCTACAGTATTCTAAGAACATGGCACAGTTATTCAAGTGCTTGCTCTCATAACAACCTACCCTTCTGAAATTTGTTACGCATGAGAAAATCTTTAAAGAGCAAAAGTAGCTGGCTTTTTGAAAAATACATAAACCAAAGCCCTGAATTTATGAGGGGATCTGATACCTGGATCCTCCAACCTGAATAGCACAAACCACCAGGTAGAAGAAGAAAGAACTGCCAGAGGTGGTGGGGCTCTGCACACTGTGGTTTCTTAGGCAGCTAGGCCTCAAAGTCTGGCTCTTCCAACTATGGACCTCACTTAGGGTGAGGTTCCAGACCTCAGCTCTCCCCACCAGAGACTAACAGAGGTGCCACTGCCCCTAGGAGGCTATCCTGTGTGACTGTGCCACCTGCCTCCACCTCCACCACCTCTGTCAATGGCAGCGTCCCTTCTCATCTTGTTTTCCAGCACTCTGTCTGTGGTCCTGTTCTTTAAACCTGCAGGCGTGGGAACATGCTCCAAGTCACTTCCACCTGGCCCACTAAGAGACCCTGCACCAGGTACCACCAGATCACCCTACAAAATTAGCTTCTGCCAGAAGCAGGCTGGCCAGCAGTGTTCAAGCCTGGCTGTGGAAGCTGGGTATGGATTCTCCTGGGTGATACTCCCAAGGTCTCACAAAAACCAGTCCACATGGCACATCTACCATTTAACAAAATCTGAAAGGGAGCAAATAGGCCGTATAATACAATCCCATTCTACAAATCAGATAAAGGAGTCTGGGGAGGGGATAACGAACTTCTGCATGAAAAGATGACTAGAGGAATCAGCAAGAAGAATTCGTGGTTTTTTGTTTTTTTTTTGGGGGGGGGTTCCAAGTACTGCTCACTTCCTGGCATCACCTAAACGTCTGCAGAAATGACTCTTACTCTCATCCTCAGAAGCATGAGGGAAACACTGCCCTCGCTTCTGCTGCTTCGACAGAACAAACTGAACTACGTGGTGATATCTTCAGCTTAATATTTAAGCTTCTTAAATATATGTATCTGTGTGACGGTCCTGAATTCTGGAGACAAACATGGAATACAAAGCCAAAGCCTCCTAAGTGAGAAGCAGCACCCAGGAGCCAGGGGAGTGCAGCAGGCCCACCAGGGCTGTACCTCAGTGACAGCAGCACCCCTCGGGGCCAGAGGCACAGAACACCACATCCACAGAGCAGGAGGGAGGGGAAAAGCAACCTACCCCAGCATGAAGGGCTGAGGAACTG